ATAATAAACAAACATGAAACATGATAATGTCAGCATTGAGATAATAGGGAAACTTGACATGAAAAACCACAGCTTAATGTAAAGGAAGAAATTTTGCTCTGGCCACAACATGCTTCTACATTATCGCCAATTTCTGCCGGGCTTGACCAAAAATTATCACTTTTTTTTGCGTGTGTTTTTTTTTTGTTTTTTTCACAGAACGGACAGCCATGATGTAGTTAGTAGTGATGCCTGAGGCTGTTACGATGCTAATGGTTCACTTTCAAAGACCTGTGTGGGAAAGTATATAATAAGCACTTGGAACACAGAGGAAAGTACATAATAAATAGGGCTCACGTACGGGCACGTGAAAACTATGGCGGGAAAATTCATAACTCGCGAATGAAATAAATGGTAACGCGCACCAGACTAGCCGGTGCGATCATGCGTTTTGTGCAATTCAGCCCATCGAACGATTGTCTGTTAATGATTTTCACTGCTTTGTACTTTTGTCTATGCAAAAATAGCTCAAAAATTGGAAAATAGTTAAAAATTTCACGCACCAGCGCATAAAAGCTGAATTCGAAACCTTGAAGGGTGAATATCTTTCCGTGATTCCCTAGTTAATAGTTTAGCCGCCAAAATTCTCACGAGGCCGTAGGTGATATTCAACAGCGAGGGAATGCTGAATTTAAATAGGCAAGGTTGAGCATGGGCAGGGAGTTATTACCCTATAATTTCAGCTTCCTAGATCCCGTAGGATTAATAATTTACCTGTAAAAACTTTCACCAGCCCGCAGGTGATACCCGGGAGCGCGGGAGCGCTGAATTTGAATGGGCAAGGTTGAGCGTGGGCAGGCGGTCATTACTGTAGAATTTCAGCCTCCTACACTCCGTGGTTCCTGAGATATTGACTTACCCGCAAAAAAACTTTCACGGAGCCGTACGAGCTACCCGCGGGTACGGGAAGGCTGAATTTAAATTTGCCATGTTACCGGTTGGCGAGGAACACTATACCAAAATTTCAGCCGCTTAGCTTTTATGGTTCCCGAGTTGAAAGTGCGGGACAAAATGTGGGACACACACACAGACAACCCCGTGACGATATGTGTTTTGTAACGCTGTTGCACAGCACAAAGCGCATAATAAGTCGGAGGGTTTTTCTTTA